TAGAACTGTTTACATTCATGACTTAAAACTCCAATCGCGCCCATGCATAAGTTAAAATACGTTACTTTGTTAAATCGTTCTCTTAAAAAGTTACAAAGATCCTTGTATCGTTCCCTTTTCCTTAAACAGTTTTTTTGCCATATTAGTTTCAAAGCCGATTGTCAATTCAATAACATATATATTTTGGTTGTTGTCTGATATTACCAAGTCTGGTCGGTCATTACAGCCTGTGATCACAGATGGATTATCAAAACCAGAAATGTCTGCATAAACGTGAAAGTCCCTTCTGACACTAGATATGTACGTTGCTAGGTGTTTCAGCACTGAATTGTGTCTCCATGTGTATCGACCTTCGTCCAGGGATGTTTTGCAAGAAGACGCTATATGTTGTAGTGTTTGCACATTCAAGCAGAAATGACACAGATTATTTTGAGCTTTCTTCCACAAAACCATGTTTGTTAATGTAGGTAGGGTGTTATTTAAATATCTAGTTACGAAGTTGTATATGTTTTTAGGGAGTTTGTCAACTGCCGAGTGCCAATCTTTCGCTGTACCCTGGAAAGCATCTCTCCAAATCGACTTAATTATAAGACTCTGCGACGTTAGCTTGCTTTCAATATTAAAGATCTTATCTTTCCTAATTTCTTTGGCAACCTGTTTTGCGGTGGAGAAACCATCGTACTGCACATTACAGTTTGAGCTAGATGCGTAGAAAAGGTTTTGGGTGTCTAGACAACTCGAGTCTTTTAATTTATTTCGCAAAATTACTTGACATTCAGTGAATTTTGTTGATACATCGATGATGTCGAAACCAAATTTGGATTTCCCAAGAAGCAATATGTCAAGGGTGCCGTTTGGTGGTATCTCAAGCCATGTCCGAAATTTATTGTGGCACATTGTGTCTAAAGTTTGCTTTATCCATGTTCTATCAATGTCTGCAATAGTGAGATGCCAAGATATTTTCGGGAGCAGATATTTCATATATAACTCAAGCTTAAATTTTGAGTGTAGAGGGAGACGATCGATTTTTTCTAAGATGCTACTAGTCTCAGACAGCAAGAACTGTTTATGTTCTACGTTATCCATCGGAAAGTTGTAAAATCTACCGAGATAACAAAAGCTTTCGTTCCCCTTTACCGCTGTAATTAAGCCGTGGTTAACGTAAATTTTCGGAAAATACTGCTTGGATAATGAGTTCCTTTTGATAATTCCGAATGACTTGCATTTGTCGACTCTTAGCGTCATTTTTGCCCAATTACACCACTTGGTGAATGCATTCAGTAATATTTGTGTCTCGTACTCCTCACCTGTTGTTATCACCGCGTCATCGGCAAATTGAAACCAATGTTTGGGGGTTAGAAACGGCTGCCCAGCATTAAATCCGAGTTGACAAAACTGATCCGTTTTAATGTATTGAATAAACGTATTCATTACCATGTTGAACAACAACGGGCTCAAACAATCTCCTTGTAGCACTCCTTTACTCACTTTAAGGAACGGTGTTAGATATTTTTCCGTAACCACTACGGTACGGAAGTCAGTATACAGGTTTGCAATACAATTTTGAAAATGCTCGGGGATTTGATGATATTTTAGTACTGTTTGAATCAGGTTATGGTGGACTTCGCCGAATGCATTTCTTAAGTCAAGTAGTGCTATTGTTAGAGATCTTTGTTGTTTTTTCGCTCGTCTAATTAAGTATGCTAAATGGGCCGTATGTTCAAAAGTGCCGGACATTCCCGGAGTAAATCCTTTTTGAATCCTATTTTCAATATAATTGTTTTTTAATAGAAACTCATACATGGCATTCCGTATTGTTGATGTAAAAATTTTGAGAGGCACTGATTGCAGGGTAATTGGTCTTAAGTTTTGAGGATCGTCAGTTGATTCTTTTTTGTGAATAAGAATTGATGCAGCTCTTCTCCAAGTGTCAGGAATTTGGCCCGATTTCCATACCATTTGAATGATTGTTGTCAAGTAAGATCTAAGGTATGCAGATTTTTTAAAGGGAATAATTGAGAGCTGATCACGCGGGCACGCAGAGCTACCTGTTTTCATTCTTTTGATGATAGCCGTAATTTTAGCATAAGTTGGAGGTGTAGAATTAAATTCGTGTACAGGTGCTGAAAGTCTCGGTAACCAATTTGGTAGGGAAAAAACATGAGATGGACATGCGTTCATCCAAATGTTTTTAAAGTAATTAGTGCAAGTTGCCAAATCGAACGTTGGTATCAGATAGTCAACGCTATCTAAATGCGATTTGGCATAAGCCCAGAAATTTTTCTTGATTTCCTCGTCGTGATTAATAGATTTAGCATTATCATGGCCTTTATTCCGAGTTAATTTCCTTAGTAATCTTGACACATACTGAATATTCTCTAGTCTACATCAACAGGTGACTGGCGTTTCAATGCTTTCAGTTCTCGTTTTAGCTCTTGTTTTGAGTAACTAGCATACTTAGTATGACATTCAGAGTTGGAATCCTTGCACTTATTCACCGTACCGAAATTTTCTACAAAGTAATCATATACCAAATTCGTCATTTTGTCAACACAATCGTTCACCGAACATTCGCTAACCTCGAATATAGGCAGCTCGGCTCTAAAATAAAGATCCGCCTCCTTCCATTCATGTTCAGTTTTTGGAAGTTTAACGCCCGGCTTTAAAATAGGCGTGCCATTAAATATATCTTCGTCAACATCACTTATTTGATCGTGTTCGTTTGTGATTTCTCCCTCATGTGGCAATAGCAAATCAGAGCACATACCTTTGATGAAGCGACATGATCTTTGATGACCCTTCAAGCCTCGCAAACCTTTACATTTCTTGCCGCAACAACATTTAACATAGTCGACGTTTGAAATACGACCTTGGTTTCTCAACGCAGCATCATCCATCTCAGCATTACTTTGAGTCAAATCATGATTGTTTGTGACAAGTGTTGGGCCTTCGTTCCTTTCGTTCACATTCTCACGAAGCCGTTCTTTACAGCGCCATTGATGTCGGCCAAGAGACTTAAAATCCCGATTACAGTAGGAACAGACAACGAGCAAGAAGAACCAAAATATTAAAGTTTTCATGCTTTATCAGTGTAGTAAACGTACGAACGATAGACACATAGAAATAATCAAAATAAATCTTTGCACCGATTAAAATCGTTAAAACATTAATGATCTGCAGGAGCTCGACTAGAAACGTCTGACTCCCTCGAGATCATAGTAATATAATAATATATATAATAATAATAATAATAATATAATAATAATAATAATAATAATAATAATAATAATAATAATAATAATAATAATAATAATAATAATAATAATAATAATAATAATAATAATAATAATAATAATAACATGGCGCTTGCCCGCGTCAAAGTAAAAGTTGCCTTCGCGCGGAAAATATCGCTTTTATCTTTATTTTTAAACGAAAACAAGAGTAACAGAAGTTACAAACAAGACTAACAACAATTACATGGTTGAGTGGAATTTTCAAGCTGTTAGCGTTGTATAATGTGATATAACAAAGCCAGGAAAACTTTGCCAGTGGAATGTTCGCTATAAACGCGTAAGTTAAAACTACAATTGTCTCGAACATTTTTATGTAAATTATTAAGTAATAGCGTGCATGCATGGTTTCTCGTGAAATTTGGATAAACATGCACCCGTGAGTTTTTCAAAGACCTCAAATAGCACTCGTCCTTCGGACTCGTAGTGCTATTTTGAAGTCTTTGAAAAACTCACTCGTGCATGTTATATCCAAATTGCACTCGAGACCATGCTATTACCTAAATTTAAAATTAAGATACTATTTTTAAATCTTGAATTAATATGTCAAGCAACCTAAAATTCGGCCAATCATTTCCATTCGCCTAATTCGCCCGTAAAATCTGGCTTTTAAAAATGCTGTCCTTTTAATTAAGCTGGCTTGGATGTATAAGTCAACAATAAGAAAAGTTTTATTTATGATTCGCCCAGTGTGCAAACCTGTGGAAAAGTTTTGTCATGTGTAAACGCAAAAACTAAAATTTTATATATTCATTACCAAAAGTAAACTTTTGTTCGGCTGTGTCGCTGCATCCGTCTTTTTTCTGATCAACATAAATTCCATTAGGCTGAGCACAAGAGTTCACTGAGTTGTCGTAAAGAAATAAAGATCCAGCAGCTGTTTGTTTCAAGCGGTGATTATCATTGTTTTCGAAATTTCTTCCATCCTGATTTTTGCCGTCATATATGAATAAACGATTGTTGTATTTGTTAGTTCCATATTTAGACGCTAACGTCCCTCCGGTCTTGATGTTATGTAGCAGTGTGGTATCGATATAACTGAATCGTGCGTTGTCGCTCAAGCAGTTGCTAACCATTTCAGCCCAATAACATCTCCCCCAACCGTCATCTGAAATGAGACTTCCTGCTGCAATACATTTTCCAAACTGCGTATGCCTAAGAAAAAGGCTTTGACAATCTGCAAACAAGAAACAGGCATTCAAACAATTCAATACATATAATTATTAGTTCGTTCAGATTGCAAAATCGTATTACGTCGCAGGAATCGCACCCGCTTTGTGTCTGAAAATTTAGTTTAGAGTCGCTTTCCACCTCCGAGGCTATGGTTTAATCAATGGTGTAGTTTTTATTGATTTATAAAAAGCTTTTGACACTATCGATCACCAAATTATGTTACAAAAGCTAAGAAACTATGGTATTGATCAAATGAGTCTAACCTGGTTTGAATCTTATCTTACCAACTGAACTCAAAAGTACGGGCTAACGACCAATTGTCAAATTCTGCCCCGGTGACTTGTGGTGTTCCCCAAGGTAGTCACCTGGGGCCTATACTTTTTCTGATCTATATAAATGACCTTCCAAATTGCTCGAATCATGCTATACCTAGAATGTTCGCTGATGACACGAGTATAAGTTATTCAGCAAACACAACAGGTGAGCTCCAAAATGTAATAAACTCTGAGTTAAAAAAGCTTAATAGCTGGCTTATTACTAATAAATTAAGTCTAAATATTGTTAAAACGGAGTTTATGGTAGTAGGATCTCAGCAAAAATTAAGGTCCATATAGATATGCTCCCAGTTATTTACAAGAATTCTTTTCCATTCGTGGAACTGGGTATAACCTAAGAAATTCTGAAATGAGGCTGAACTTGCCTAAGCCACGAACAAATTATTTAAAACGAAGCTTTTGTTATAGTGGAGCACTATTGTGGAATAGCCTTCCTCAAGAAATAAGAAAGCTTCAAACACAGGCTAAATTTTAAAAAGCTGTTAATAAGTATTTCGACGAATAAACGAGCCCCCACACGGCAATCTTGTAAACCAGTATTAGTATTAGTATTAGTTTATTGTCTTTCTTGTAACTACTGTAGATTTAACCGTGTTTAATTAAATTGTATAATAATACTAATAATAATATCTTGGTATATATACAGTGAACATTTGGGCAGAAATATGCGGCCATGGAGTGATCTTGGGCCCTCCCTCCACCCACATTGCTGGTATGTAAATATAATAGGCCTAGGCCTGCAAAGTATATTGGGGGTGACGACGCACTGCTAGGTTATAAATATATGCTATAAGGATCAGTAAATCTTCACCCTTCGGAACGCGCCTTTCTATTGGCTAGTTCTTAACTGACGATCGCAAGCTTTGCGGAGAAAGATTGAACATTCTATCACGTCATATTAAGCCAATTATACGAGCTTTGAACAATTGTCTGTTAAATTGTAAAATCTCGCCCGCTCTTCTATAGGATTTTCTTAAAATTTCATATATTGTATAAAATTATATGCTCTTTCAAAAGGTTACTTACTCGTAGGTTGTGCAAGCTTGAAAATGAACGAAAATCCCACTCAAACAGGACTGCCCTTTGCGCGTCATATTAATTTTAAATAAGCCAATTATATGAGCTTTGAACAACTGTCTGTTAAAATATAAAAATCTTGGTCGCTCTTAGGATTTTCGTACAACTTCATATATGTATAAAATTATATGCTCTTTCAAAAGGTTACTTACTCGTAGGTTGTGCAAAGCCTTAAAATGAACGAAGATCCCACTCAAATTGGGCTGTATTACCGTGTGTCTTATATTAATACTAAGCCATTTATATGCGTTGCGAGGAACTTCCTGCTAATTTGTAGATTTTGCGCTCTCTATTCTATAGGATTTTCATAAATTTCATGTACTTGTATAAAAATATATGCTCTTTTAAATGGTTACTTAGTCGTAGGTTGTGCAAACCTATAAACAAGCGAGAATCCGTCTCAAAATGGACTATGTGGCACTAGGCATCATCGTAAACAATACACAAATTCAATTATATCATGTGCGCTGTCAAAAATTGCCTGTTTAACCATTCATAAATATCATGCCCTCTATTCTATACAATTTTTTTAAACACGCAAGTGGTGCTAGCCTGAAAATGAACGAAAATCCCACTCAAACAGGACTGCCCTTCGCGGGTCATATTAAGCCAATTATATGAGCTTTGATCAACTGTCTGTTAAAATATAAAAATCTTGCCCGCTCTTCTATAAGATTTTCTTAAAATTTCATATATTGTAGAAAAATATGTGCTCTTTCAAATGGTTATAACTTACTCCTAGGTTGTGCAAGCCTATAATCAAGCGAGAATCCGTCTCAAAATTGACGATATGTGGCAGGCGTCATTGTGATTAAATCTGATCTGAATTAGACAAAGGTCAAAGTCAATTAGATATGGGCGCTGTCAAAAATTGCCATGAGCCATTTACAAAGCATTTCTAAATCTGAATTTACTGCATCTTCAAAATCACTTAAGCATTCTCCAGCTGCTGTAATATTTGTATATCATCATATCATTTGTTTTACTCAGACATGCGGGTAGATCATTAATTAAATGTATAGAGTAAGAAAAATAGTGGCCCTATTATATACCCCTGGAGTACACCACATTTGACATAATTTTCCCCTGAAATAGATCCATTGACTTCACATCTTTGAGTACAACCAGTTAAGTATGATTTGAGTAATAGAAATGCACTTCCTGTGATTCCAACAAGTTTTAGTTTTTGCAATAAAATTTCATGGTCAACAGTATCAAAGGTTTTTTTTAGGTCTATACAAATACAACCAAATTAAGTTTTCCATCCATGTTTATAACGGTACCAATCATTTGTGTAATCAAGCAAAGCTGGTGCAGTTGAACGAAATTTTCTGAAACCAAATTAATGCTTAGAAACTATGTTATTTGCACTCAAATAAATTAATTGAGTATATAGGATACGTTCCATAAATAATTTTACTAATAGCTGGCAACCGACAGAAATTAGTCGATAATTTCCTGGCAAGTTTCGTTTGCCATTCTTAAAAGAGGAATAAATCTTGCAATCCTCCATTCATGTGAAAAAGTACATAAAGTTATTGCTTGATTAAATATGTAAGTATGTAAGTCAGTGAATCCGAAATTAATGGTGCAGCAATTTTAATTATCTTGCTGGATATTTTATCCAGGCCAGTAGTAGCTTTGCTACCAGACAGTTCACGTAATAAAAGACAAACATGACTTACGGTAACTGACTGGGATGCAGCAAATTTAGAATTAGTTTTGTCAAGGTAGTCTTTAAAATGACATTCATGGTGTACCAATTTCTTCGGCTAAATTTGGCCCAATATTTGAAAAGAAGGTATTGAAGCCCTCAGAAATTTCATCAGGGCTTGTTAATGTTATACCATTTAAGTTTAATTCGTTTACTTTAGTTCTTTGATTCTGTTTATCAAGTAAGGCATTAATTGTCTTCCAAGCAGCTTGATATTTATTGGAATGATATTCCTTTTTGGCTCCGAGTGTTTTAGACGATTGTTATGGTTTCATTTCTTGCTTTTTTATAGTTATCCCAATCTGTTTCAAGTTTAGTGATAATCGCTTTTCTTTTCAAATTATCTCTTGCAACTATTATTTTTTATATGACTAGCTAGTAAATAAACTGGGCATGAATTGGGCATTTTGAATTGGCCGGGGCATGTTTATCTAGGACTTGTACGAAAAGTTGTTTCCAAATTTCCCATATAGTGTCACGATTGTCTGCAAAAAATGGACATGTTCCCCATGTTTGAGTTCCTGGGTCTTGCAAAAACTGCATGCTGTTCACTGAATTTTTTCTTATTTCAAATATGTTATAATTATTTTATGTCGTATGTTAATTTGCCATAAATGAGACTACATGTGGTCACCAGTTCCAGTATGTATTACACCACATTTGGATATTTTTCCTAGTTCATTGGAAATAAAATCAATTATCTGGGATAATTGATAAATTTCGAATAAACATTTAAGTGTCTTAGTTGGATGGTCAGGAATGGACTTAAAAAGGAAGCAGTTGAGATCGTCCATATTCCTTGTTTTCTTAATCAATCTTTTTTAATAGGTTTTCAAGACGGATAAAATAATTTGATGAAGCATCAGGGGATCTACAAACTGTAATAACCACAAATGGTCTCATTACATTTTTTAAGGATTCTTCAGTCGTGGGACAAAACTGCCAAAGAGCTCATTTTTCTTGCCCTCCCCCCAGGATATAGTATGCGATAGCCGAAGCAAAATAACAACTTTTT